AGCCATTGCAATGAATTATATGACCATTCTACTCCCGATCTTTCTTGGGTTATTAGTTTACCCAATAAAGCTGTGTATGACTACTAGATAGTCAATGGTTGGTTTGAAATTAAGGAGAGACTCAAGGGCATGTTCTAATGCTTGTGTGTAGAGCCGATAATTTGGGCAGGCCAGGCTCAATTTAGGTCAGGTTTAAAGTATTATACTCTTTTGAAAAAGCTCATATAATTAAGTCCAATCCTAACTTTTTTCGGGGTAGGTTCGGGATGATTTTTCAAGTTTGGCTTGAATTACTGGCTTGTGCGTGGAATTTACCCCCTTGTAGGTAGTTAAAGCTAAACTCTATTGGTGCTTTTGATGTTACTAACAATTTGGGAGGCCTTAGATTTACTTTGCAAAATCATGCAGTGGATGTGATTAACCTATGTGCCCAGAGAAGTGATGCATCCTCACCATTTCACAGTGAGGCAATGGCACCATTTGAAGCTGTTCGAAGCGCACGTGGCAAGTAGATGGAGCATATTAAAATGGAATCAGATTGCAAACTACTAGTGGATGCTGCTCTATGCAAAGCTACTTGTCATAATAGGAATTCTAGACTTTTGGTTGAGGAGCTTTCTATTGTTTTTAATCTGAATCAGGACCTTTTTTTATCTTTTATGCCACGTTCTTGTAATTTGGTGACAGATTGGCTTGCCAAATCAGCTGTAAAGGGATTGTTTAGTGGTGGGTGGTCCCTTGCTCCCCCAACCCCCCTTGCTAATATTTTTTATTCTGATGCTTAAGTGCTAATTGATGGGCATTGGTTAACTTGTAACTATCTATTTTTGTTGTGAACGATATTTCTCCTTTGGCCCAAAAAAAAAATCATGAATTTTTAAGGGGAGAATCTCAACCAGGGCCCCTTCAAAGTGAATAATTGTAATTCAAAGAAAAAGGGTATTAACTTTTATAGCTTATGCAGTCCATATAAATTGACACAATAGTTATGTATACGAACGAATTATAATAAGAGTGGACGCATATGCGTGTGTATGTAGATTATGATCCTCTCATGAATTATCTCAAAAAGTATTTCCTTCTGGATAACAATTTAAGGCATTAACTATTTTACAGTTCTCAAAAAAATGTTAGGTGCAATCTTATTCTTAACTTTTTTACATCTTTTTAATTATACCCTCATTAAATATCTTATTAAGTGCTTTCATAATGATAATTGAAACTCTAATATATTATTTTTCAAAAAGAAAGTAATAAATAAAGTGAGGATATAATTATAAAACTACTTAATTAATATTCTATATTTTAAACCAAACAAGACTTTTTAAAAATGTCTTATATTGAAATCCAGAAAGAAAAGAGTATCGCACAACTTGAAGTGTTATGCACCAGTAATAATGACTTTAATTATTTTTAATTGAAATGAAAATTTAATGCAGACGTTAGGAATTAATAGATACTAAAGAAAATGAGGGGGGCTGAGGAGGGGATCATAGGTAAAATTCAAAAATCATATACACTCTAACTTTCAAGGAATAAAAAAATATTGTTGAGTAATATTACAAGAAATATAAAGAATGTTATGAAAAAAATAGAAAGAATTGATTTCCTCATTCCCTCTTTGGAACTGAAGAAGTCGTAGCTGGTTATTTACAAAATTACAATTACAGGGGCGGTTCAGGAAGTTAGCTTGTGGAGGCAAAACGACAAGAGAAGAGTTGTGGTTATCGCTTATTGCTTATTGTCGTTTGCAGGCGGAGGGTCTTGTACGACAACGAATCGAACCTTGAATCGGCCAAGCTTGCGTGCGAGAGAGTCCAAGGGACTCGAACGACGACCTCGTTGTCTCATTGAATGAACCTTCTTAAATCTAAATACTCTCTTCCGTTCTGTGCATGCACGAATGTAGGGAACGCCAAAACCTTCCTTATTGTAAGAACATGAAGCTTCTTCTTGCTCTTGATGATGAAGATGATGATGCTGATGAAGATGATGAAGCACTTCCATGATCAATATGAATAATAGTAGTCTTCTTCTTTTCTTCTTCTTCTGAGACTTTAGGGTTTAGGCTCTATATGTATGGGTTTTCTGAGATGAAGCAGTGTATCTCAATCGAGTTTGTGATGAAAATGAGGTGAGACGAATGTTGTGTGGTGGAGGATATGAGATTCGATGTGTGTGTTGTGGATTTATATAGAGGATGAGATTTGAACGAGTCGTTTTTATTTCTCAGATATTTGATGACTTCAAATGGTTGAACTGACTTTCACAGCTAATATGTCAGACCAAGTCATAAATAACATATTATTCAATTTTCAAACAAGTGCTCCTTTAATTTTCGCTTCAGTTATAGACTCATAGGGTAATAAAGACGCGTTTTTTTTTTTTAGTATATTGACCTGTTTTGGTTAATTACAAATCCAATAAATAGAAAATAAGCAAGAGCATGGTAGCAAAACAGAGACTGGATTACAATAATCCCTTTCTCTTTCAACGGATTGCGTGTTAGAATTTTTCATGTGGTTCCCACCACATCATCAAGAACTGTTTTTTTTTTTTAAATAAAGGCTATGAAATTATATAAAAGAGGATCTAGCACAAAAAATACAAGGAAGAAATTAGCTATGAGGCTTATGCTCATCATTATATTACCAACATAACAAGTGTGAAAAAATTACTTCATTTGGTTGTTATCTTTTTCTCTTTTTTTTTCCCCTCTTTTTTTAAATTATAAGGGCAAGTACTAACTATTTGATACACAATCTGGGCAAGTACTGCTTATTATTGATTAATTTGTTTAAAATTTTAAAAAAATGATTTTAGTTAATTTTTAAATTAAGTATAAAAGTGTCGTTAGAAGTACAATTGTACAAAAAAGGAATTGCAAGTGAAATTTAAACTAAACATGTAAGAAATGTGTCAAAAAGATTATTTTAATAAGTTATTTGAAGAAAAAAATTTAAAAATATATTTGTTTCAACAAAACTTTTATGATTATTGTTAAACTTGATTAGAATTACTGAATCCAGAGAGCTCCGCATTGTCGGGTGTGGCAAGAGCATTGACCAAAGGTGAGTCATTTAATCAATGAACTGAGTAAACTTTTTTTTTTTTTTCCCCTCTTAAGGACAAAGTCAATATTTACTCTAATTATATTGAAGGACTCATGTTCACTCCTAATCAATGTTTTAGAATTGAACCATATACTAAACTAAAAAGGTTAGCAATTCATGGTTCACATGATTCAATTGAGTTGGATCAATGATCAAACTAATAACGTAATAATTAAATTAAAAAAAGTCTATATGTATATAATAATCTAAATATAAAAAATAAATATCAAATTGCTACTTAACTTAAAAATAAAATTAAATATTTTAAATTTATTATGACTTAATAAGCTATATGATACAACATAACATTAAATGATTAAAAAAAAATTGGTCATTTTTTTAAAAAAATTGATAAAAAATAAAAAATTGTTTTAATAGTTCGGTTCTTGAAAATTGGATTTTGTTCCCAACTTGATTCCGGTTTCTGATCCGGCTGCTAATCCAAAATAGCCCAAGTTCCCAAAATAATTTTTACATACTAGCTGAACAGAAATTCAGACTGATCGACAGTTGAACAGGTCCAACTATTCAGTTCAGTTTGATTTTTTAATCACTGCTCTTAATAAGTATTGTGCAAATCATTTTTCATTGCAACTATTAATAAAATCAGAAAATTTGTTATGAAAAAATCGACAATCAATTTTGATAACGATTTTAAAGAGGCGAATAAGTATGCTGACGGGTAGGTACATCAAGATGCATTAACTTTTACACGATGACATGATCTAAATTGTCTTTTTGCACGATTTTCTTCTGCGGCCTTATATTAAAAAGGGAGGACAAAAAAAAAAAAAAAGAATCAGCTCTCGTTGACTTGGTTAATCAAATCAAATCCTTTTAGATGAGCCCATAGCTTGGAAATCAAAGCCCACTTGCCCCCATTGGATTGATTAACTTATAAGAGCTTATAAAATATGCTTTTTATGTATTTACATGCCCGGCTGTGTTTCACTAGGATTGATTTTTGAAAGAATTATAAGAGCTTATAAAGAAAAAAATGATTATTATTTCTTTTTATGTATTTACAAGTCGAATTTATAAGTAGACAAGAATGTTGTGTGTGTATTAAAAATTACAAATATATCCTAACAAAAGGATTTATTTATAAGTAAGTTACATGAATTTTTAAAAATATGCTTAAATCTTATAAGATTTGATTGTAATTAATTTTACTATGTAAAATGATACGGGAAGTGGTAGACCAGTGGCCAGTAATTGTTGACCGATCAAAATAATTTTTTTAAAAAAATATTTTATTGCAATAGTAATATTTTCATGTTTATAAATCAAACATTGCATATTAATAACTAAATATTCAAGGTTTAAAGTAAAACTTATTATATTTATAAGTCAATCTCTTGTAATATTAATATTTTAATATTTACAACTTAAATTTTAAATATTTATAAGTTAGATTTGTAAATTAAAATATTTAACTTGTAAATTTGTGATATTGACTCGTAAATATCAAGCCAAAATAAAGTTGACTTATAAATATTAAATTATTAACATTGTAAGAGATTAAGTTATACATGTAAGAAGTTTGAGTTGTAAATCTTGAAGATATACTTATAAATATGTGATAATTGATTTGCAAATTTTAAAATATAAATAATTCAGTAAAAATATTTTTTTAAAAAAAATTTGACTAGTTAATAAGGTGGCAAGTCCAAAGGTATTTTTATTATTTTACATGATAAATTAATTATTATCAAGTCCAATAAAGATTGAATGTATTTTTATAAATTCAATATGTGTAATTATAAATAATTTTTTTTAAAAAAGAACTCATTTATAATTTTTTTATAAGTTATTAATTTATTTTCCTGGAATATAATATAACTGAATATTTCCCATGACCCCATTTTTTAAATCAGGATAGTTCCGTTCTCACTGTCTCGCATCAATCGCTCAATTTCTTGCGCCGGTACCAGAAGTGATTCGCCTATGGAAACTGAACGAGGAGATACCGAGTCAGCACCCCGACTCGACTGGGCCGAGTTGACCCATGAGTGCCTCATCAACATATTCTCTCGCCTCTCCATCGACGACCGATGGCGAGGCGTCATGTTCGTCTGCAACTCCTGGCTTCGCGCCTTCAAGGATCCCTCCTTGCATTCGGTGTTCAACCTCGACTCCCACTTCGATTCCCCTGTTGAGTTGGCCCTCTGGTGGACCCCCGAGTTCGAGAGGAAGATCGATTCTATGCTTCAATCAGTCGCCGGCTGGAGCGCTGGTTCTCTCAAGGAGATTCGCCTCAGACATTGCACTGATCGCTCGCTCGCTGTCGTTGCTGAAAGGTAACATACTTACTGCGAATTTCAATGTCTGTTCTTCCCATCCCTTGGGTCGCGAAAGTTGAAATCGAAGAATCAAAATTGGTTTCAGAAAGTTGAAATCGTAGAATCTTAAATTGGTTTTCTTCTACCTTATTGAATTTGGTTTCTAGTTTTTCTGCTTCGAATTGTTCTGGGTGAAGTTCATGTTTCAAATGATGGAATAAGAGTATGCCCTGATTTTTCTTATGAATTGACTTCGGATAAAAAACAGTGTTGATAGGCTATGCGGTGATCGAATTTGGGGAACCTAAGTACTTGATATGACATCCCATGCCGAAATAAATAAATTTTGAGTGTGCGATTTGAAGATAGAAGATACATCGTTTATTATGTGGCTCCGTTCGTAAAGCATTGTTGGTTAATTTATTGGGGCTTTAGCAGTTGAATGTTGTGTGACGGTTTGGATGGTGAATATTAGAACTCAGCATTATTTTATGTGTTTCATTAGAACTCACTTTATTTTCTTTGCTTTTGTTGATGGTTCTCTGTCTCCTGCGGTTGTAATTTAGATGCCCAAATCTTGAGGTTCTAGTGATCAGAAGCTGCCCTCATGTTACTGATGATTCAATCTCTAGAATAGCTTTCAGTTGTCCCAAGCTCAGGGAACTTGATATCAGCTACTGCTATGAAATATCCCATGAGTCGTTGTTGTTGATTGGAAAAAATTGCCCCAACCTCAAGGTTCTGAAGCGAAATTTCATGAATTGGATTGATCCTTCTCAACATGTGGGAGTTGTTCCTGATAAATATCTTAATGCTTGTCCACAAGATGGGGATTCTGAGGCTACAGCTATTGCAAACTCTATGCCACTTCTAGAGTGCCTTGAGATTAGGTTTTCCAAATTATCAGCTAAGGGCTTCAATTCGTTATGTCAGGGGTGTAAGGAGCTCAAGTTTTTGGATTTGATTGGCTGTACTAGCTTAACTGGCCGAGACATTGCAAATGCAACTTCCAATTTGGAGTGTCTAGAAGAGATTAAACGCCCAAATTTGTACATCCCCAGGTCTTTTTACTATGCTGAGAGGTATGGCCATTGGAGATTGTATGATGAGAGATTCCAGACTGATGTTTTCCGTAGCTGAGAATGGGTAAGAAGATTTATTCAATAAGTAAAATCTGAGCCCTCCTTCTGTTTGCTTGTGTGTGAGCGGCAACTCTTCTTTTGGGGTTAAAGTTCAGAACCTATATGTATTGTCTTTTATGCTTGTTTACCTTGTTATCAAAATAATGACCTGTGTCTGTAATTTATGTTGTATATATTATATATATATATATATATTTTGAAATCTTCCTGAACTTGTAGGGCAGTTGTATATGAAGACCATTTTCTCTTTTTCACTTTTGAAGTGGTCAAGTGGGTTTACTTGATTCATTGCTTCTTATGCTTTGATTTAGCAATCTTAAATAAAGGTGTTTCATTTTATTTATGTTAGCCTTTCTTTCATTCCTCCGTCTTCCTCATTCTAGGAAACCACTAAGTGCTAACCATTTCGTGGTGTTCTACTTATTTGTCTTAATTCATTTTCTTCAATAAAGGAAATCTCGCCAGTGTTATTATTACTGCTGATAGGACAGTTTTCTGAGTTCATTCATGGATTAAGATTATGGTGGAGTCAGGGTGCTAAGTTTCACTGTTCAAGTTTGAGGTTTTGAGCACAGGTTACCAGTTTTAAATTAGGGTAAATTATTATTCATAACCCTTTGGCCTGTGCTCTTATGCTGTGCACCCTAATTTATACCTTGGGCTACTCTATGATGCTATTGCAAGAATTAAGTGAGCCATTTTAATTTTCAAGCGTGGGGTTTATTTTAATAATGGCGGTAGAAAGACTGAAACTTTGTAAAGATGAAAGTGGACTGCCGTTTTATTTGAACAATAAAGCTGCTAATTTTATAGACGAGCGTGGGCCATTCATGTGATTGTTTCTATAAAAATTAATAGTAAAAATGCCATGTGGTTTTAGCAGTGCAAAATAAATCATCAGAGTTGGCTGACACTTTTTAAAGCCAGCAGAAAGACAGCTTGATTTCAAATCAAATCACACAAGGTAGACTAGATTTTAAAATTGAGAATAAGGGTCAGATTTGAATATCTTATTTAAATAAGAGATGGGGCTTGATAAGCCTTGAAAAAAAAGGACTCGAGTTCAAGTGATCCTTCAAATCTCTATTTCTCAAAAGATTAATAATTTTTCAAGTATTGTGTTATTAAAATAATTAATATTATTTCTTTTACTATTTATTTTAACATGATATTGATTTTTTTTATTAATTTCTCTTACACGATTACTTTCTAAAGTTTATTTCTTGGTTTTGCTTAATATTGTAACTCTGTAATACATAAATTTTTGTATTTATCAGATTTGATAAGGTTGATTTGAATTGAAAATTTTTATCTTTATTTTAAAACTTGATTAAGATTCTATATTATATATATATATATATTTATTTATTTTATTAATTTTTTATTTTTAAAATTTTTAAAAAATAAAACTATCTTATAGGCACGGCCTTGAACTCTTCAAATAAAAATTGAAGTTTAGAAAGTGATCATTTTTTAAGAAACCAAGCTCAAAGGCTTGAACCCACAAGGGTCAAGCCTGTCCATTTTCTTACCTCTATTAGATTCTCCTATTCAATCAAGCTAGTTAACTATGTGATGTGATTCTAGCTTAATTGTATTGATACAACCGAATTTAATTTGAGGTCTGGGATTTTTAGAAGTTAAACAACTCTGGTTTACCTGGTCCTGACCCAAGAGGCAATGGAAAGATGGTACTTATGTGTTTCTCTCCCACAATTTATTTCTTGTATAAAATAGATTTAGCACAGCAGAAGGGAAATGATGGCAGAAGGTAGCTTATTATTAAAAAAAAAAGAAAAAGAAAAAAAGCATTGGCATCATCTTGCCGTCAGAAGCTATTTAGGGGGAGAGGGGGGCAACTTTTGGCTGGACATGAAGGTCTTATAACATGGACATAGAAGGTTAGCTATTATGAACATATCTTCTTCTTGCCTCTATGAAAATATCTTTCAGGATGAAACATCTGGCCTCGGGAATTCAATAGAAGCAAACAGATAGAAGCAATCCAAGAAAGAGATTCGTGAGAGCTGCCATGAACATAGATGAAGGCCTAAGGGAAAACGAATTTGAACCTTTCTTGCCATTTGGACGCCGTAACAAGTCACTTGAACCGCCACCGTTGATTGGCTTTCCTACATGTGAAACACCTCGGCCATGCTGTACAATGTTCACTCTTGGAACTGTTCTTTGATTGCCTGTTTTACTTGATCCCATGATCACGCCACCGTACATATCTGCACACCCAGAAGAACAAAGATGAACATGTTCAAATGTTCAATCTTTAATTAGGATTTCAGTTTGAATAACCTAAGAATTTCAGCCTTGGGTCATTAGATTTATTGTACTTCATCCTTAAAAAATTGATGACCGCCCGAGTTAACATCTGAAAATAACAAATTTAGTGCACATCTAATGAATTTGTTATTTTCATTAGTTAAATTGCGCACTTAGGAATTAAGCCTGTGTGAGTTTAGCAAGCTATAATCAAACTGTAAGTTCAGGCTACTTTCATACAACAAGATGGACAATAACATGAAGAAAAAAGAATTCCTAAATACTTACATTTACGCTGCATTGTTGACTTGGAAATCCTCGAATCTTCATATTCTGCAGTAGATTTGCTTGCACAAGCTGAATATGTGAGAATGGTGAGCAACACAAGGAACCACAGAAGTAGAGTTTTCTTCATATCTTGGAGCCTTTTCTGAACCAACAGCTACTAGATGGTTGTCTTGGGGTGGAGAGGTATATTTGGTTAGTGGTAAAGTTTGTCATTTATAAAGGGGTTTTGTTACTGTTGATGGTACCAAAAGTTGCCCAAGACACATGATTTTGCCCTCCTGAAATTGGGTTCTCAACAGTTAACAGCTAACGTTAGCGAGAAAGTAGATTTATTTTTTTATCCTGTAGTTTTGTCAAAATAATTTTGATGACAGAGGATTGTTTCTCTTCTAAGTATAATCTCTTCTGGTATCTATCTTTGCCTGTGCCAAGTCAACGTAACAGTGAAAAAAATAGGATTGAGTTTCTTTCTTGCTGCCTCCCTCTGACGTAAATGCAGGAAGGAGGCACCAGAAGACAAACTAGGTCCGAAAGAATCTTACTATTGGGATGATAAGTGAGAGCTTGTTCTATCGGAAGCATATAATGGCAGACAAGCAAAGGACTAAAAGAGGGTCCCTTGGGTTAAATGATTCCAAGGAAGATTAGGCAGATCATAAAGCAATCCTTTTTATTCTTTTCGTGTGGATGATGGATGGCTTAATTAACGCTATATATGAAATTAGTCATTCTTCATTAGATTGTACAATTCACATTTCACCACTGCATCTTCATGTTTCCTTTTACAAAATTTTGACATGGTTTTATTAGCTGGTAAGAACTAGGCACGTACCCAAAACTAAACCAACACAAGATTCAAATATTGAGGAATCACAAGCCTACTATAGATCCTCTAGCCCTATCCGTATGTAGGGCAAGGAAACAGGTTAATATGCACTTTTAGGAACAAATGAAGGGCTATACAGTATTCTAAGCTTTTTATTTTCAGTGAATATGGGCACTTTCTTGTAATGGTAGTTTTATCCATGATTAAGTTATGTGTAGTTGTGGTTGAAAGATTGAAAATTAATTTGAAATATAAAATCTATAAAAAAAAATTGTGTTATAGACTCATCTCATACTTAGTGTAATCAGTACATGGGAAAATAATTCAAATTGTCTTCTTAGTTGTTTATTTTTATGTATTAAGAATCAATTTTATCTTTCAATTATACAAAAAAAGATCACCAGAAATCCTAAATTCAAATATAGGTCAATTCTATCTTTAAACCTTTAAAATTCAAAACTTCATCACCCCCTATGTTAAGTTGTCATCCATCATCGTTAATGGGTCCCTATTTTGCTGAGGTGGCATGCCTTGTATGCAAATTCTTCATTCCAAAAGTTACACCCCACCTTAGTTAACTCTAATTTTGTCCACATCACCCATTGACAACGTCTTACTCTCCCTCATTTCTATCTCCTCTCCCTTTTCTCTTCTCCTTGATGTTGCTTCCTTTTGCCTCGTCTTAGAGTGTGTTTGGATTAAAAAATTCACAATTGAGGTTAGAACTTAACTGAGGTTGGCAAACTAATGTTAAAAAAAAATTTTCATTTATAACGTGATTTATGTTTGGATATTTTTTTTTCAGAAGTTAGTTGGACAAATTAAAATTTGTTTGGATGTTTGATTCAAAAGCCAATTGAGATGCATAATGACAAAAATGGACATAATTTTTTTTGTGTATATTTTTGTCATCAATTTTATTTTTTTAAAAGAATATTACATTTTAAATTACAATTTTATTTTTTTAAGTTAGAATTTAAAAATCTAAAATAAATTGATTGGATTAAAATTTTTTCAATTTTATAAATGCGTTGCACTGATTCTAAAAAATAAATTACACTGCTACTAACATATAAAAATTATTATTTAGTGTTAGTTTAATATAATAATAATTGATGATTTAATGATCTAATTTGTATATTCGCAAATTAAGATTACTCCACAATTCTAGGCCTTAGTGTGTTTTTCCTCGACTCGGATCCGATGACCTAAGTCCTGAAAATATTGAGAATTGAAAGGTGAGTACAACCACTCAATAATTAAGTTTTACCTAACCTATACAGTTACATATTAATTGTAGATGGATAGATGCAAATAGGCAAATACACATATAACACATATCAACACTTGGTCACGGTTCACAAAACTAACAACCATGTAAATGGGTGCACAATTCACAATATCATGTTATTTTGCAAAGCACAACACGGAATCACAATAATAACAATCATGCACCCCTAACACATGCTAAACAATAAAACTAATAATCATGTGGTCGAACTTATATGCATGATCATATACCAACCTTATAGCCTTCCACTTGTGAAAAGCTACCGAGTCAAGGTGAACTCATTTACTTATGTGATCTGATTTCCCCCAATACTAATAACCATGAGGTGTTGTACCCCTAATCTGGCCTCCTCATGAACCGGCGGAGATTAGTTAGGTTCGAGTCCCTCATAGCACAAGTGAGACAATCCCAAATCAACCATAAGACAAGAGCTACCTCCCAATTCTAATGGTCGGTGCCAACGCAAGCTTTCAATTCCAATGATTACTGCAAGTACCATGTGGATTTAAACTAATCTATTCCTCTCCTTAGGCAAACTTTCACCAATGATCATACTATGTACATTTGTCACATATTATGCATTTCAAGGATTAATTCATGGCAATTAATTTCACATACTCATATTCAATCACTCCATACATTCAACATATCATATATCACAATTCTTCACTTTTACAACAACATGCCACAAATAAATTATAAATTACAAGTGAGTGGCATAATAAATGTTTTTCCTTTCCAAAATTATTTCACAATTAAACACATTGTCGACATGCATCATTTATTTAAATCATCAATCATATTTCACAAATACAATTAACATTCAATTATAAAAGTTAGGTTTCTCCATGTTACCTCAAGCCTTTAAGAGGTCAAAAGTTTACCCCTCACAACACCAACTTCCAAAGTTTCAACAAGCTTGAATGGTGCCAAAATGAATCACACTACAATCATAGTACAAGATTACCATTATTATCCCGTTTGGAGGATTTTACCACATAATCTCCATACACACTATTCTATCAACCCATGAATTACTATCCATTCATATCCAATGGGCTCTTTAGATTCCATTAATGCACATTATACTTAATAACACCTCAAACCATTATTAATGAACACATACTTCTCCCAACTACCACATTGATCTGGATTTTCAGATATTAAATGCTCTATCTAACAAACTCTCGATAAAACCATTAATGTGGGATTTATCTATCACAAACTGCACCAAATGAACTCATTTTAACTAATGGATTTAGACCCATAGTCCTATAGATTAAAAATGAACACTCCAACTTAAACCCTATCATAAATGAGGGAGAGAAAGGAAGAAGAAGGCATGATAAACCTGCATTAGGTGTTTGGGAGCTTTAAAATGTCAACAATGAAAGTCAATATGTGTGCCCTAGTAGAGCTCTAACATTTTCTTCATTTTCTTCCTTTCCTTCTCTTCTATTTTCATGCAAAATGCGAATTGATTTATCAAAAATTTTGCCCGTGTGTCGTAGCACATGCTACCCTCCAGCGCAGAGCATGGCACAAAGGAGCTTATTGCATTCAAATTTGCCTCTGTGCACCGTGACAGACTGACCATGCACCGCGACATGTGGCATAGAAAGCAAATCTTTACTTTTTCTTCCTCTTTTCTTACTCGAGTGGCCTGCCATCAATCTAAACCTACTTCTAGGGCTGAAATCACCACAATTATACCAATTAGACCCTTCTGTCCACACACCTTATTAACTCACTAATTACCCTCATTAGGTTAATAAATCAAGATTAAATTTTTTTGGATGTTACACAACCTGCTTCAGGAGGTCTCCAATATGCTTCAAATCTTTTGCTATCACAAATAAGGATATTGTCTCTTGATTGGAGTCTGACATCATCGATAACTTGTTGGGTGCTAGAAAAAGCGATGGTAGCTTTGTGGTTGATTTCCTGAGAATAAATCTATTTGCATCATGCCTTCCAAACGTTCCAACAAACTTGGTCAAAGAACTTTTACCAAGGAATTCTTTTAGTATTTGAGCCGTCGGCCTCAATTTTCATATTCCAAATTATCCAGTCCTGTACAAAAAGATAGAAAAATGTATTAAGTTTAGAAGGTTTAATAAGTTTAAGCCAGAAAATACAAGCTTCTTTGCAATCTTGGAGAATGTGAATTGAGGAATCTAGAGAGCAAAAAAAGCTAGTTCCAAATCATTGAGTTTGACATGTGAAGCCACTGGAGGGTGTGAGTCATGTCACCTCAACAAAATGTAAGACCTACTAACAGTGATAGATGATAAATTAATGTCAAGGTAATGAAACTTTAGATTTTAAAGGTTTATGGATAAAATTAACCCACAATTAAATTTAAAATCTCTAATGACCTTTCATTTATAATTGAGGAAGAAAATTGACCCTCAACTTTTTTTTATTGTTTAGGCAAGATGTCAAAATAAAAAATAAATACCTCCTCTGGTTCTAAATGTAAGAGTCAGTTAACTAATTTACATATATTAATGAAATTAGTTATTTTTTAAAAAAATGTGTTCTGGTTCTCCTAAACTATTTCTTTTGATCATTTAAATTGAAACTACTTCCATTGATTAAAACCCTCCTTTAACATGCAATCAATAAAGACAATTGGTCAAGAAAAAAATTATAAATTTGAAAAACAAATTATATTGAGGCCTTACATGTAGGATTAAACACTACTACAAAATAAGTTTACAGGAGCACTTTTTTTTTTACTTCAAGGAGCGCTTTTGAAGCGCTCTTGTATTGAGCACTCCGAAATATATAGGAGCGCTTAAAAAAAGTGCTCCTGTATATACGCTATACGGGAGCGCTTTTCGAAAAGTGCTCCCGTAAGGGAGCTCCCACACATCACATACGGGAGCGCTCTTTACAAGAGCGCTCCCGTATGCAACCATACCGGAGCGCTTTTATAAAGAGCGCTCCTGTATGAACCATATAAGAGCGCTCTTTGGAAGAGTGCTTCCGTATGTTACTTTACAAGAGCGCTCTTCAAATGAGCACTCCCGTATATTACTTTAATTTTTTTTAAATAAAATTTTTTGAAATTTCTCCT